CTGAACCGAGCCCCGCCGTTTTACAAGAATGGTTATTACCCATCAATACGGTTCCACCATCAGTGCTTCTATAGGTAGTAAACCACTTCCTATTTGGACACATATGGTAAGAGCATCCAGAGTCAAGAATCCACTTACCGGAGGTTTCTTCATCACAAGAGATGATGTAGCACTCATCGCTTTCCCCTCCTTCCGAAGCATAGCTAAACTCTTGCTTGACTTGCACCTTCCCGTTATTATTGTTCTTATTGTTCTTCTTCCAACTCCTTTTGTTAGTACAATTTGCCTTGAAATGCACTTGAAACAAGACCTTTCCGCAAGAAGTCTAGAACTCGATCTAGATTTTTCTCCCTTGCCCTTTGGTTGCACATTGCTTCTACCTCTTACAAACAATCCTTGAGCTTGCTCCTTGTTACCAATGGTAGACATGCCACTAGTTGCAATCTTACGAAGATCATCTGCTAGAAGTGACGTTCTAGTGTCCTCCATCACAACTTTATCACCCACAAGCATCAATGTTTGCACTAGGTTCTCGTAAGACTTTGGCAATGAAAGAAGTAGTAGAAGTGCTTGATCCTCATCATCTACTTTCACATCAATGTCTTTCAAGTTCGATATGCACCTATCAAACTTGTTGACGTACTCCCGGATTGGTGTACCTTCATCCATCTTGCAAGTATACAATTTGGACTTCAAATAGATCCGATTAGTTAGAGTCTTCGTCGTGAAGTTTGTCTCCAACTTTGTCCACACCTCCGCCGCCGTTTCCTCACCATCAACCAAGAAAGCAACATCTCTTTCAAGGCATAGAATGATAGACGCTCGTACCTTAAGATCTAGCTCTTCCCAATCCTCGTCAGACATATCTATGTGCTTCTTCTCCTTTCCCGCCAATGCCTTGTGCAACTTTTGAGAAATTAACAAATTTTTCATTTGCATTCTCCAATATGAGAAATCATTCTTCCCATTGAATTTCTCTATCTCATACTTCCCAATTTTCACCGTTCCTCTAGTAGACATGATTTATCTACTTATTTATCGGAAATAAACAAACAAAGTTCACTTGGGAATTTTCACAAACACCTTGTGTGCACAACAAAGTTCAAGCTAACCCACCAAAAATTGGAGCTTAACCACCCGGATTTAAGAAGATGTTCTGATACCAAATTGTTGGAAAAACACCTCCCAAAGATTGCCCAAGATCAAACAAACTTGCAATGCGAAAAAATATCAAGCCACTTTGAAGATAAGAAATTGGGGAAGAAATGATTTTTCAATATATAAGAAGAACAATGGATTGGATTACTTGAATAAGGCTCAAGTTAATCCCAAAGAAAAAAAATGGCTTTGAATTTATACCCAAGAAGAACAAACTTTTACTTGTAAAATTCTATCCAAGCCCTCTCTATATTCCTCTCTCAAAATCGGGTATATATAATGTATCGGGGCGCCTAGGCGCCAGGTTTCTGCTTGGCTTTGGCAATCGGGGCGCCTAGGCGCCCACACATGGCGCCTAGGCGCCATTCCACTTCAACTCTTTCTCTTCTCACGGCATGCAACATTGCCCTTTCCACTAGGACGAGATTGGATATAGTTGGGAGAAGAATACTGTTGGCACAAATACTTACTTGGTCTGAAAACCTCTTAAGTACCATAAAGGCCTTCCAATCAATGCAATGGGATGTCTTTTCATCTCCTCTTCACTCCTAAAGGGAGAAAGTTTGAAATGGGATCTCACTTTTTTTGGGATCGGGTAAATAAATTTATATTGATCAAAATTGAGTGCAACAACTCCGGGCATACCTGGGGCAAGCATTACAATGATATAGTGATCCAAATAAAGGACGCAGCATGAATCAAACCATTAGAACTTCAGCTGATCAATAACACGAAGTGCCAAACTGGAGGTCTATTTCAAAACTTCCAAGAGGATTGGATGTGAAAATCTTCCAAATTGAAATCATATCTTAAGAGTATTTAGGGTTGGCAAGGAAGCTCTTTTATCACCTTATTTTATCCTTTCTTCTTCATTATTTTCTCTCTCTCTAAGTTAAGGAACATTGGGAAAAGGAAGCATATGGAGAAACATTACTATGGACAATCTTATTTTTCATTTAGACTGTCGTGTTTTCCATTGGAAAGCATTAAACTTTACCAGAAAAGACTTCGCTTATGCAATATAGCTCACTTTTTAGAACTCTACTCTCGTAACGAGGCTATTGCGAGATACCAATGTAAAACCTATTTCAGTTTGATCGTGTGTGGATTCTGAAAGGATCCATGAACAGAAAAATCTGATAAAGACGTCATGCTCTGTTGCAAGATCCATTTGAAGTCTCCTTGAAGAAAGACAAAATTTTGGATACCAATATTTTTCCTGTAAGACTGCATTGTATGCACTTCATATGAATTACAAGTACTTGCACAATATTCACCATTACAGTTGAATGATTTTCAAGGTACCCAAAATACGTTCTTGTAGTTTAATCAACAAGACTTAACATCCATGGTTGCACTAGCGGATCCAGAATGAATATTGAGCACGAGCAATGAGAGCAGCCGTCAAGCGGCTGCCCAA